TGTGTGTGTGTGTGTGTGTGTGCGTGTGTGTGTGTGTGTGTGATAAGGCAGTTAGCAGACTTTTCTCCCCCAAAATGTGTTGATGAGGCACCTTCAAACTAAGAATGAGTATATGTGGGTTTACAATACCACTACAATAAAGGTTTATCATTTTCAAAACTTCAGATATCTGATGATAGTATAGTCCTTTTTCTCTCAAGTATAATATAATTGATTCTATTGTTTCCATCATTGAAGGAAATGATCATAGACGACTAAATAACATTTTCCGTTTTTAAATACTTATTTAATCTCAATTTAATCAGTCAGCCTCATTAACATTCATAAGAGATTTGAAAACAACAACAGCAGAACAGAAACAACACAACAGAATGAACAAGCGTAACAACCCTAAAATAACTAAAGCTAAAATCTCCCAGTGAGTCAGTGCAAGACTCAAAGAAGAAAATGAATAGAGTAATATGAGAGAGGAGAGGTGAGGTAGTTCGGAAGCTCCAACAGTAGATCTTTATAACTGAATAACATATGATGGATTTCTCTTCTTCACTGGAAGGAATTCCAAAAAAACGTTTAATCTAGAGAACAACAATGAGTGTGAATATGTATTTTAGAATTTAAGTGGAAGAGCTGTGCAGCTTTCAAAGAACAACCCTCACCGTTTGCTCCCTGTCTCTGCCAGCTGAAGCAGTCAGGGACCATGTGCCGGGAGCCCGCGGGGGCCTGTGACCTGCCTGAGTACTGCACCGGGGCCTCCCCCTACTGCCCCTCCAACGTGTACCTGCTGGACGGATCCTCCTGCCAGTACGGAGTGGCCTACTGCTACACCGGCATGTGCCTCACCCACCAGCAGCAGTGCCTGCAGCTGTGGGGCTACGGTGAGAACAGCCAATTACCACACAGAAATGTTGAGTACCCCAAAGTTTATCTTATAAATGTATAGTAGAGTCCACAGCACAGAAACTGCTGCATGCTATCCTGCATATGTTGGATAATAGGACACAATGAGCATGACCGATTTGGGCTATTTGGAGTGATTTAAGGGGTTAAGGAGGTACCAAATCCATTTCTGACATGTTCAAGATCTAAAATGTGAGTTGAAACCAGAAAGTGGCCACAATGGTAACCTCGCTGTGCTGATTTTGATTAATTCTGGACGCTGGATAATTGGTACTGGACAGCTTGTATTTTTTAATTGGTATACATAGAACCAGTTAAAAGTTGTAGGATATCTGAACACAATTATTCTAACAATGCAGAACATGAACATTTTAATTGACAAACCAATACACTCTCAGTTGAACATTCAATTTAGGAGATAACAAAGGCAAGTATACCAACTTCAATAATTGGCTAGTGATATGCTCCAAAAAGAGATAAATACATCATAGAATTAATCAAACTGTTCAATAATTATTGCACATGAGAAGCCTCAACAGGGTTGAAAGATAATCAATCAAGAGACTCTATGAGCGGGCAAACTATCAGATCAGTGTGAAGCCTGAAACACTCTGAAATCAGGGGTTCACCAACGGAGGTTCTACTTTTATTTTTGTTACAGTTAAACCACCTGGAGCCAGTTTCTGCTCACAGATTTCACAGCAGTAACACCTCACTGTATGTCAGAGTTTGTTATCACACTGAATAACAGCAGTTTGTCAAAAATAAACACTCATCAAAGCTACAAGGGTTAGCTCTTTTTCCTTTTCGACAGGAAGGCTGCATTGACAAGCATGACAGTGTTAGAACAGCAGCCAGACCGAGCACAACAGGAAGACATTTTGACATTAATGTGTGTCATCCTATTTCATTGTACTGCATTATTTCATTATTTTTAACAAAGTCCAAAATTAGCTTTTCTTTAACATAGATTGTATTACTTTGGTAGGAATGTGGTAACTTATACAATCATTAATTATCCAGTTGAAATAAAATCAGCTATGAAAAGTACATCATTTGATTATTTACTTACAACAACAGTTTCTTGTCAATTTGGACATTTTTAGTTTGTGGTGCTGTTGAAGTTAATTGGCTTCTACAGAGATGTGTTTCTGTTATTAAGTCAGTTTAATTAAGACTAGCTCACCCACATTAATGTCACCGTGAGGGACTGTTTTTATTTTAGCTAGGTGTAGTATTCAAATGAAAACTGGCAGCTATGTGTTTAGCCTTACTTGAACAACATCTGCGTGCTGTAGGAAGAAACTGCTATACACAACTCAAAAGCTGTCACATGTAGAATAAGAAATCATAAATGAGACTTTGTTGTTTTTAAGAAGTGAGATTTGGCAAACAGCTGGTGCAGAGACTGAACACAGTGTCTAAAACTCCTGTCCTCATACCGGGGTTCCCATGTTTTAGATCTGTTAATGGCACTGTGAGCTAAGCATGATTCCACATGTAGTGGGTGAAACTGATATAGGCTTTTTCGTCTGACTCTTTTTCTTAGAATATCACATTTGTCACAGATCTCTTATCTCTGACTGTAGCTGCAGGAGGGTTTAGACTGTTATCTTCACCATAACATCTGCAGACAAGCAGCAGGATCTGTCCATCTGTTTGCAGGAGTTTAACATTATTGTCTATGTCTAACATTGTTGACCTGGGTTAGTACAAGAGAGCCCAGAGGCCTGATGGGATATGTTGTGTTCCAGGAGCCCGCCCGGCCCATGATGCCTGCTTCGAAGATGTCAATGCAGCAGGGAACGCTTTTGGGAACTGTGGGAAAGATGAACATGGCAACTATATGAAGTGTCAGAAAAGGTAGGAGATGCTGTTTCCATACACACTTTCGATCTATGCAACAACAAACAACTGCTAAAGTAAGAATTCTAACAATTTTGAATTTATTCAAAGTATTGCAAAAAGGACATAGGTGGAAAAGATGGTGTAATTTATAATAGTGCATTGAAAGTAGATTGAACAAATGTAATATTTCCCCACTGTGGGAGGAATAAAGGCTTTCTGATTCTGAAATAAATGATACCTTACATTTAGCATGTGACTAGAAAGTATTTCAATTCAGTTTTTATACACTGATTTTCACTGTCTGAGGTTCGTCGAGCGCCCTTTAACATTGTCATCCTCCCGCACCGCTCCGTTTGAAATAATGGCTTCCCCGACTACAAAATGTACCTGTCCTACTTTCTTTAAAATGTTAATTACATTGTTTGCAATACATTTTCAGTGTTTCCCCTAGGATGGAGTCATAGCAGCGGTGCTAAGGCACGCGGGCCCAGCAAAATGTGAGCGCGGCGCGCGTGGACATTTTAAGTGTGTGCGCGTGCGAAGTGCTTCCCGCCATTATGTTTCTATTTGTCTGCCAGCACAAGAAAGACACATACATCATTAAAGGCTTCAAATGTATTCAGTATTGTATGAACATAATTGGTGGTTGGACATCACATCCTCTAGGGGGGTCCGGGGGTATGCCCCCCCGGGAAGATTTGTTTTTACATTTTAATATAAAATGCTTCAATCTGGTGCACTTTGAGCACACAATGACTAGAGACTAGATCTAACTCTAAACACCCATATGAAAAAGATCGTTTTACATTTTAATAATCAAATAATTGAACATACCAATAAACTACCATAGCCAATAACACATACAGGACTGTCTCAGAAAATTAGAATATTGTGATAAAGTTCTTTATTTTCTGTAATGCAATTAAAAAAACAAAAATGTCATACATTCTGGATTCATTACAAATCAACTGAAATATTGCAAGCCTTTTATTATTTTAATATTGCTGATTATGGCATACAGCTTAAGAAAACTCAAATATCCTATCTCTAAATATTAGAATATCATGAAAAAGTATACTAGTAGGGTGTTCAACGAATCACTTGAATCGTCTAATTAACTCGAAACACCTGCAAGGGTTTCCTGAGCCTTGAAAAACACTCAGCTTGGTTCAGTAAACAGTTCTAAAGTATAGAGTTGTAACTCCGATTTTCCCTTCAGGAACATACGGTCAATTAATTTTGCACAGGAGAGGTTGGTATCTTTGAAACCGCTAAACACACACACATTCAAACTTCTGTAAAGACGGAAAACAGTACGACGAGGTTTAAGTTAAGTCTGTACGAGAAAAAACACATAAGTGTATACTATCTACGTGAGAACAAGAAGAACAAAAGGATAATACAACCTTGAGACAGATATTTTTATCCAAAAAGACAAAAAAACAAAAAATACTCTAGATTACAACCTCGAAAAAGGCTTGATGGAGCGGAGAGAGTAAAATGAGATATTTAATAGAAGGGGACTCAGAGCGTAAGGTGGCCCTAAAATTCCGAAATATAGTCAACTAAATACCAGCAAATGACCAAAATTCAGAACAACTAGACAACACAACAAAGACAAAACGACAAACAACAGAGTTCAGAGAAACTTACAATTACTCCGACTAATTAACTCTAATTTAGGTCAGCAGCATACTAATAAATGAAATTATAACTAGTTTGTTATGTCAGTTAATATAATCGAACTCTATTTTTCCTGTTATGATAGTCGGTCCTATAGACTTGAAAACTTTTACTATTTTGGAAATAACATGCGGGGTGTATATGAGTAGAATCCGGGGCCGGGTGCTCCTGCTTTTGCCAACAAATCGCAATGACAAATCACAGCTATGACTGCAACCGGTGTGCCTCTGCTGGGCTTATCCTGTCATTTGTTGAACGCCTTTGTCATTGCCCAGTGGTTCCACCTATCTTGCGTATGTGTTGCGAGACCCCCCAGGTTACCGAGGCACACACGCGGATATGCTAGTAAAATGATATTACTTACTACGTTATCAGGGCGGAGAGGGGTGGAGCGACGAGTGGGGGCGCAGGTTTCATTTGACGTGTGACTTAAGTCTATATAAATAGAAAAGAGCTATACCTGTATTTGCTCCCACTTCATATTAGACTGGTCCTGCCTCTGGTGCGTCGAGGACGAGTGGACGTCGAGGTAGTGTCGCCACTTGCCTCGTTTTTGTGGTGAAGTAAGTCTAGTAAAACGAATATAAAGAGATTTGGATTTAATCTATATTTAATAAAAAAAGACAAAACACAAGTGAGAAAACACCTAGCGACGGCGTACTCTGTCTGTGACTGCGACAGCTTCTACTCACTCCCTTTTTCTTCTCCGAGGCACATAAAATAATAATAAAATATATCTCAGCACAGAAGTAACAAATTTCGAGTTATTTATCGTTTCCTTCTGGACAACTGACCGTGAAAATATTAAAACCAGGCCTTTATTTTGAAATTATGTGAAACTGACCGCTTTGAAAGCTCGGTGTAGCGCCTTTCGACAGTAAAAGTCTCGACTGCCTTTGACGGACTGTTTCGTTGTTGTCGTTCAACTTCGTCTGTATTGAAATAAACCTGTGTTGTGGGTTCTTCTTCCAAGTATTGCGGTATTACATTCAATAATATTAAATTTTACAACAAGGTAAATCTAATTCATTTAAGTTATGAAACTATTTTCGTGATGCAATTCTTACTTATGTAAGATCGATGAATCGATCAAACATTCGCTATTACACGTCGCGCGACAGTAGATACCCCTTTCTCGTGTGGGCTGTCCGACTAGTCCTCGGGCTGCGACTTCGCCTCCCTAGATCTAGACGTACTTCCCACCGTCTTGGGTTCTATAAGTTCAGTGACCCCGTCACCTTGCTTCACCTCTAAAACCGTGTAAGTAATGATCCACGTACGAAAACCTCTGTGACTATAAATTTTATTTTTAACGGACTACTTCACTACATTTACTTGTTGTTTTGATTTTATTCAATGTAGTCCTGACAGAGTCTTTTAATGTTATAACACTAATTTCAAGAAATAAAAGACATTACGTTAATTTTTTTTGTTTTTTAAGTATGTAAGCCTAAGTAATGTTTAGTTGACTTTATAACGTTCGGAAATAATAAAGATATAACGACTAATACCGATGTCGAATTCTTTGAGTTTTTAGGTAGAGTTTTTTAATCTTACGAAGAGTCTGGTTCATTTTTTTTTTCTAAAATATTGCCGTTTTGGTTAGGTTGGTAAACTTTTACAGGTAATTACGTGGAGTCATGAACCAACCCTTAGGAAAACGTGCCTAATGACGTAGTTACGCTGCACGTTACCTCCGTTAGTCCGACCCGTAACGACTCCACAATACCTTACCGCGGGTCCTACGAAGTATCGCCGGAAATCGAGTAATCGTACAACCCAGACCTAAACCACAGAAAGTCGAAGAAGAAGTGTATGGGGTGTATAAAGAGATACCCCAAGTCCAGTCCCGTTAAACGTCCGGTTAGGCTCTGTCATTACGGTGAGCGCGGAGTCATGTGGTCAATGACCACCAAACGGACACCCGTCCAACGGTCTAGTACGTACCTTTTACTGTAAGGAGTAGAGTATCCGAAAAGGTCGGCTGCCTTCGTGACATCCGAGATTTTAGAGAACCATGTGTAGACGTAAATGAGACCCGAACTACTTTGTGTCACCTGTTGTGGTCGTCGACTTGTACCAGGGTTTTGGTAGCGACTGACACCCCTTGAAGTGTGACCTAAGTCGTTGAACCTAAGAAACGAGGGAGAGGTCGGAAAGAGGTCGAGACCGCGGTACTGAAGGTTTATTTATGTTTTGAACGAAAGCAGCCTTTCTCCCTTGAAACCTGGTGACACGTTTGAAAGGTCACGAAGAAAAGGAATCGGGTTCAGTCTGCGCAGAAGGCAACAGAACTCAAGTCTTCACGAACTGGTACCTTAGCCGATAACATCGGGTAAAGGGCCTGTGCAGAGTACTTGTCACTGAAAACTATGGACCTGAGGTTCAAGTACAAGGTGACAGAAACTTCCGAGGGGTTTAAGACCTTCGCTGAGAAGAAGTGTTACACAATTCCGGACGCCCAGTAAGAGACCCAACACGTCGCAAAGGACGGTGTAAAGGGGGAAGGTTGTCTGAAAAACACCTACACGAACTTTGACGTGAGAGCACTTGTCCCGAACCGAGAAACTCTTTGAAAGGAAAAACACAGACATGGAGGACTACCTCCGTGACAGTACTGCCCAGGAGACCTGTCGCAGTCTAGTCGTCAGAAGGGGTATG